GGCGCGATCACAACACTGACCTGATTCCTGGTTCTGGTGATCGTATAAGTTAAACATGACAGCCTATGTTTACGGTAACGCAAATGATAATGACGATATACACATTCTAGTCTATTCACTACGTAAAACAATCTGAACTGTACAGTAAACTCAACTTACGAATACATTCTGGCACGAAGGTATTCAATAAATCAGACACTACTAATGCGTTTATAAAAACGCCGGCTGAATCACTGGCTAAAAAACAACTACCAGTGCCTGGCTACCGGAATGTGTTCACGACTACGTGACCCTGCCCGCTAATCCACACACGGTTCAATGCTGCAGATGTACTAGGGATGTCACGTTCGAGTCTTCCACTGCGTGAATGGCAGGTAACAACATATCAGTGACACTGTAATTCCAACCGGGCCTCGTTTGTGTTTCCGCTGTTTGTTACCGACCCTTTTACAACGTATGGCTTAAAAGGCACATGACGGCATTTTCTAGATATAATCTGTACGCGCTGTGGTACATAACTATGTTCTCCCGATAGCCTTTACTTCCCAGCAAATTTCTGGATAAAAGAGTACTGCCTGTGTTTACAACTTTTGAGATGTAGGCCTTTTGGATCTGAGGTTTTGAGGCCCGATGGCTAGTGCTGTCGCTACGGACTGTGCAGGTCAGGGTTTTACTTTCGCCACAACAGAGAAAGAAATCACAACCTTACCGAGGATTCGAACCTGGGTCTCCCGCATGATAACCCAGTTTTCTTAACGTATAATTCTTGACATATCAACTTGGAGCACATTTCGGGTAAAATACATGAGTAAATCATAACTATGGATCGAACTCACATCTTTACATTACTACAGAGTAAACTAACATCTACACATCAAGGTTCTCTTTTTGGAGAAGGCGGTGTATAGACAAAACATAAAGCCGTTACGACATTTGTTTATATTACAACAGTAAGTTACACACATATTTAATTTGGATTGGATTTAAAGGATTGCGTTGATGTTTCACGGATGTCTCTTTATGCTTAAATGTTATCACATAGATAAAATAAAAACATTTCAGCTCAGCAAACGAATTCCATATTCCTGCAAAGGTGGAATTGTCAGTATGCCGGAATGACACACGCAGTAACAATTTAACAATAGCAACATTAATGGAGAAAACACACATACATTGCGGTTTATGCTGGACTTAAGTAACTGCTACTAGCGAGTGTTAATTTGTAGAACTGAAAATGATATACATGTATGCAGATCCAACAATAAATTTCCCCTCACATGGCTTCTCTCACAAACACTCCTGCTATCGGTTGAAATTATCCCCTGTGTCGTGTGCACTATATTTTGGTCTACGTACTAAAGCCCGTATTCAGGCCAACTTTTTGATAAGCACACACACATACACTTACACACACACACACACACACACACAGAGAGAGAGAGAGAGAGAGAGAGAGAGAGAGAGAGAGAGAGAGAGAGGAAAAAAAAGTCAGGTTTTAACGTAATGTATGTGTATATATGTCGGCTCTGTGGCTAAGTCGATGCGAACGCTTCGTAATGACGGGATGCCGGGTTCGATCCCAGCTGTGGGCCAGGCGCCTTGCGTTGGTTTCGACAGTGGTATCAGAAAGCCGACCGTCCAGTTGGCAATGGCAAACTACTCGACGTAAATTTGCCAAGAGAAACCACACAAGAGCCCCTGGCTGTTGGTTCTGCAACGTCCTGTAAAGGATACGCAACTAACCAACTATGTGTGTGTCTGTATATATATATATTATATATATATATATATATATATATATATATATATATATATATATATATATATATATTACATAACAACATCTATGTATTATGCCTATTCACTTACTCAGATCAGAGTAATTGTATTGTCCCAAAGTACTTTAACTGACTGACTATTCCTTACGTCTACCATTAAACCAGCAATGTATGGCAGTATTTCTTACATTCATTAGGAGCATAATGAAGAAATCTAGTTTGCTAAAAATTTATGTTAGGGTAGTGGTGTGTATGCTTGCCTTCTAACCTGGTGGTTACAGATTTGAATCTTCATTTGTATCCCCGTGTGGGTTTCGGGGCCCCATTGTGGAAGAAAACAAGAAAAGACCCACTGCCTACCCAAAAGCATGTCGTAAGAGTCGACTAATTGGGGAGCTTCCTTTGAAGTCGGAGTGCATCTGCCGGAGAGGCAAGGAACCAACAGTCTGTATTCAAAAGAATAAGATGTGTAAAACTGATGCACACGCAACACGCAGGTTCTGGAGCAGGACTGCAGTTCAGTAGTGGACGAGCAACCAGAACCTTCCGCCACAGTTTATAGCTGGTGAACGCGAAGAAGAGGAAGAATCTTCATTTTTCCGTGTGGGTTCCGGTTCCTCGTTGTAGGGGGAAACAGAAAAGACCTATTGCCCCACAACAAACATGTCGTAAAAGGCGTCCAATTAGGGGTGTTTTCTTCAAAGTCAGTGCATCTGCCAATGAGGTGAGGAACCAAGAGCCTGCATACACATAAGCTAGATGCGTAGAACGTTCAAAATAGTTGCAAATCTCTTAGAGAACATTGCATAATCAATCCAAGAATTGTTTAATTGGTGTGGTATTTCTAGGCAAATTGTACGTTCAGTAGTTTGCCATTGCTCCATGAACGGTCGGCTCTCGATATCACTGTCGAAACCAACGCAAGGCGAAAATCGCCTGCAGCAGGGATCAAACTCAAGTACCGGAAAACAGACTAAAGCAAGAAGTAGGCAAACAATCGGAACCTTCCGCCGGTGTTTACAGCTGGTGAACGTGAAAAATAAGAATCCTCGTTGAGTTTGACTAAGATTGACAACGAAAAAATTGACAAGCAAGCCTAAAATAGTTATCACGGAATGTCACTGTAATTAAAGGCAGCCGGGGGATGCCGACCTCAAACCACAGAGTTCGGATTAGTTTATTTAAATATGAGGCCAGAAAACTTATGCTTAATTTACTCCATGTGTGAAAATTAATTGCTTATCTTAAGCAGGGGCGACAGAACCTGTTGGCTCAGACACGCTGAGTCCGCACCTACCCCCTCCCTCCCCCACAAATGAAAAAGGGGTGGGAGGGGGGCTAAGCAGAAAACCCCTCCCCCAGTCATACATATTTATCTTTTTAACTGTTTATTTATACATTTCATATTACTTCAAATATGTTTTTATATTTATTTGTCTTTTAGCATATTAAATTAATATTACTACTCACTAAAACAAAACTTAAGCCCTATAAGTTTGCCCCTACCCCTCGACCTTTATATTTATAAGGATTCTGAGCCATTCGCCCTACCCCACGCTCCGAGGCTCCCATATTCATGTTTTCTTTGTTTTAGCGCTCCTGGTCTCTCAGACAGACAGACACACTAACACCCACGAAACCTATTTCCTACACCAAACGCAGGTTTCATCGTACATACGATGCAGTATGGGGATCCTAAACTAGCCTGGGGATTACCACCAAATTAAAGTAAAGGTACAAGCTAGAATGGATTACAGACTCCAGACTGTAATGAAAAAAAGTGGAACTTCATTTCATTTTCCCTTTTGTTGCGAGCTTGACACAGAAACTAAATGCGCTGACAACATAAGCCACACGTGACCGCGCCAACTTTCAAGAACATGTGGTGTGGGGACATACAGCAGTCGACCAGAGAGATACTAACAAGATTATACACATCAACACAAGTATCTTTCTTATGTCAACGTTTATAAACAGAAACCCATGCCTCAAATAGGAAGTTCAAATGTGACCTTAAACAATTACATTTGACAGTCAAAATAAGGATTGAATGCCCTTGGAGACTAAAACGCTGCCACTCAATATAAAATATGCCAGTGTAATCATAGACGAGATTTCTGGCTTCCTTTCAGATGAGGTCTTATAGCCTCATCATTAAGTGCCCTGTCATCTGGCGCAGCAATCTGTAATATCCAGCTCTCTAAAATTGTATTACCTCTTGACAATCAAAAATCCAGCTTATGAATTGCTATTATTATGATTATTATCATTATTGCGCAAGTTAACAGGAAATCAGACCTTTTCTTAAGGAAGGTGTAGTATTTCGTGGCAACAAAAACAATTCAAATACAGAGGTTCTGGAAACACTTGGAATTTAAAAAAAAAAAAAAAAAGATGTTGCTGAAAGAAATTAAAAGTAAACAACTGAAATATAATTGGCCACACCAAAAAAAAAAAGACATGAAGGTTAGTTGCTATACTTTACTGGATGTTGAAGAACCAACTCCAGCAAGTTTTTTTTGTTTGTTTTTTGTTTGTGATTTCACTAGGCAATTTTGCGTTGTGGTTTGTCGCTGCCATTGTCTTTTTAGAAATCACAATGGAGGGCAAGACAGCAATAGGTAGACAATTATACATGTGGGAGGTCAACATCACGAGATGGATGAACAGTAGTTTAAGAGAGTGTTCAACTATGACAAGAGATAGAGCTTGTTGGAGGTCCATTGCAGCCAACCTTGATTGTGGAGACGTCACCTGATTGACCGAGAAGAGATTACGCTCACCGAGAGCCCTCCCGCCCCCTTTACAATCATAAGAAGGCTGAGGTACCACTCTCACCCTTTTCAGCTTATTATTTCTGGCAATACAGATGTGGTCAAGCCCTTTGGAAGCTAGTAAACATTGCCGAGGCGCGGATAGATCATTACGGTGTGGAGAAAATTGTACGGCTTGGAGTGACCAGGCGATCTAACGGACACTCTACAGTCAGAGGAGAGGCATGACAGACACACGTATAAGTGCTACTGGAACCACTGGGATTTGAACTTTTCCCTTGCTACTGAAAATGAGGACGGGGAGCTTATGGGAATGTCCCGCATGCTGTGATGTCACTTCAACACTGCAGGAAAAAAATCTGGTAATAATCTATAGTTTGGGCGATGAGCATTCAGAAAGCAAGGACGTGGAAACAAATAATCTATGTGTATAAGGTAGAGTACTCACCTATCAGGTGCAGGGTACAGTGGGAGGAAACAGTTCCTTGTGAGTTCTTCGCCCAACACGTGAAGTCACCTTGATGTTCTCGGCACGTTTCTGTGATTGACAGTTGGGCAATATTGCCATGGTAAATGATGTCGATCTTGTCAGATACCTGGATGTTCGAGGGAAACAAAATATTTCTAGCAATTTAAACCATGTAATGATAATAAATACAAATCGCTGGCTGCAGCGTTCATTGTTCATTTACAAATCATCATCGCACATCAAATATTACTATACGTGCTCCGATCTCCTCCTAAGTATGGCTCTAAGTGTTTTTAGGTTAACAACTCCCACTCTCTTCTGGTTGATGTAACGACGGGTGATTCCCACAAAGTTTTCCTGTCTCGCTGCTCATGTGGTATGCAATCTATTTCAGTGAAAAATCATTTGTCAAGAAACTGAAATCCCTACAGCGTTTAGTCACTCGTATGACGTTGATGATGTCTCTCCTGTCCATAGATTTCCCATTCCTGATAGTCGCACTGCCAGCCAGGGTGTCTGCTCTCTCACTGCCTTTTACACCTGCATATCCTGGGACAAAAAGAAAGGTAATTTTGCGAAAGGCTATATGCTGTATTATTAGATGGAACCACTGTTTCCCTATCTGAGCCACCTAGGCCTTCTCTAGCATGCTCATTGAGTCGCCGAGCAAACATGCATTGGTGAATTCCGGAGTTTTCAGCTATTCTGGGGCCTTTGTCACAGCCTTGACCTCCACTGTCACACTGCTGCTGGTAAAAGTAACGGCTCCACTGTCTTGTTTGATGACTTTCCCTTTGATTCTTGCAGTGAAAGCCTATGCACTTCGCTTCAAACGAATCACAAAACTATACGTATATATAGCAGCGTCGGTGTGTTTCTCCACAAATGCTTTCATTTCTAGATCAATTTTCTGCAATGTGCCCATTGCTAACTGGGAATATTACACAGTGAGTCTCCAATTTATAACACGTTATAACTCTCATACCACTGTCTGCAAGCCAGGAGAACGATGTTTTTCTAAACCGTCTACCGTAGGAATCGAACCCTGGTAAACGCCGAGGTCTGCAGTGTGAAACCACTTCACTATCCTCTAAGCCACAGAGCCAAACCATCGACATTTACTTAAACTCTGTCCATCCCAGAAGGCCACAGATGATGACACAGTGAGTCAATTGTGACATCAACAAAATCATGGGTGCACGACATCCGCAGGGCTGAAACACACAACCCTTGTGGGAGATCTGTGTTGTTGGGTGTTTTAGCATGCCCTGACTATGCACACACAAAAACATGATAATGTGAAATGCTGCATATGAGTAAATCAGTCTCTTGTGGTGCATTATTGGGGACTGAAATGGATTAGCAATTACTGTTTAAGGGATTTGACAAAACAGAGGTCATGTTTTAACCCCTAGCGGACTAGGATTATTTTCTGAACTAAAACGGTTCTGGAGTCAACACATTCTCATTTGGTTATGAGTTACTAACCGACATCTTAGTACAGAGGACATTCCAAAAAGCACTCGCTCCCCATCATCAAGTCCGAGGTTTTAATTCCAAAAGTGCCAGTAACCGTCTGATTGTATGTCCGTCTCGCTCCTCTCCTAAGTATTGAACGTCGGCCGGATAGATACCTTGGTCATTACTTGTCGCACTATTCTCTTCAGACAATGATGAATTCTGCGTTGTTTATTAGTTCCCAAACGACCCTTATAACAGTCTCTTTAAAAATAGGCACCAGACAATTTTCAGAATTTTCAGTGACAGAAAGCCGGTAGAGAAAAAAAAATGTCCACTTCCATTTTTGTTGTTGTTGTTGTTCGTCTAGTACAGGTGATGATGACCATTGGTGACTGGATTAGGTTTTGTTATGGCTGATAAGGCCAGCTCTAGCTCTGAAAGTTCTTGAGAAATTTGGACAGGGAATTGAGGGCGCATCTCTCTGGTGATTCGCTTTCAGCATCTTTCCTGAACTGTCTTTTCTGAAATGCTGCTGCAGTTCTGGCAGCTTCATGAGCCACAGCTCCTCGATGATGAAAGGAACGCCAGGATTAGCGGCTTGCCAGGTTTTAGGATCAATACAGAAGTCTTTCAGTGAAGTCTTGGGGTTGTCCTTAAGATGTTTCTTCTGTACATTTTGAGAGTTCTGAATGTGCCATTTCTACTCTCACTCTTCTTCTGTATTCCGAGCCTTTCTCATACATATATCACCCGCCTCCATGCAACTTTATGATTGACTTCCTCGTTCCAGTTAGTGACCCAAAGTGTGTGTAAGTCAGCCTGTTTATAATCTCTCCAAAGTCTTCTTGCTCTGCCAAGAGAAGGAAAACTCCACGACTGGAGCGTGTCCAGAAGGCGACCAGCGAGTGCAGTAATGGTTCCCACTGCAACCATTCTTTCGGCCAGTTTATCTCCTAGACAATCTCGGGGGTGACCCCCGGGCCTCGGACTTCTACAGCCGTGCTGACCAAACAAGACGAGACGTGGTACTGAGGTTGTCAACGCGCTTTGTAATGCCGGGGTGCCGGGTTCTATTCCTGCTGCGGACGATTTGGCTTGCGCTGGTTTCGACATTGGTACCGAGAGCTGACCGTTCAGGGCAATAGCTTAGAAAAACCACAACAGCCAATAAATGCTGGGGTTGGTTCTGCAACGCCCGGTAAAGGTTGTCAGTTTATCTAACGTCTTGTTTTGGTCTGCCAGATTGTGTACTCCTATTCAATTCTTTTGTGTGCGCAGTATTTTATTCCATTATCTGTCATTTTTGTACATATACTTCGGCCTTTGTAGTCTATTAGCCCTTGCGATGCATGTAATAAGTATTAGTTTAATTTAAACTCCTTAAGTGAAGAGGGCTTGGCTCGGTGCATTGTGGTTTACAGTTAGGCTGCGATCTCTGCGCCTTTTGGCCCAACACGTCGGCAAACTCAGTTGTCGTGAAAGATATGCCTGTTAGGGCCATTGGTTCTACAATCCCCCCCCCCCCCTTTTCCCCGACATTAAATCGGGTAACAGGAACTCACTTCACTAATTTCTAATTCTTCAATAACATAAACAGAGAAAACATCGTTTGGCTGTTAAGTGGCAGAAACTGGATTTCATCTGAATTACACACTGAAGTCACTTATCGCTAATAATTCATTATATTTTAAACTCATGCTTTTATTATATGTCACATAGGGCTCACAGTCTACACCTCCATTCCTTTCTATCGTGTGCAATATGTTCAATGTCATGGATGCAATCCAGTCCCGCAATTTTGGCCAATCTCATCAACGTTCGTCTCATGATTTCTTCTTTTGGGAGTCCTCGCCTTTTAGTCTCTTTATTTCCCATGCTAATACCCATTTGAGGATTATATACAAGTTTCTTTTCAGGATGTGTCCAATGTAGCGCCATCTTCTCTTTTATAGCCTTTGATACTAGTGGTTGCCCAGACCTTTCTCTCATTTCTTCGCTTTTTTTAAATTCATCCCATTTTATTTTCATCAATTTCCTGGGACATTTGTTTCAAATACTATATCTAAAATACCATACAGTAATCCTTTGACTGTCTAAGCTTATATAATCAAGTAAAATACATGCTAGGAATATAGCGTGACACTTCAGTATTTGATGAGAACACATTTAATTCTCGCTACGTTACAAAGAAATAATGTGGCTGGTTCTAAAGCGTCTCTGGCTTAGGCGTTGTAAACGCGCTTGGTAATGTTGGGTGCCGGGTTCGATCCCGGCTGCAAATTATTTGAAAAATGTACCTAGAAAAACCGCAACAGCCGTTAAATGGCCGGGTTATTCTGTAAAGAAAACGCAACTAACTTTTTTTTTCCCAAAAGTGAGTTTTTGGGTTTTTTTTATAGATTTTATATGTATGCAGACGGTCTTTTTTTTAACACCCCATCTCGAGACTAAGATTTTGGGGAGTTTTCCCGGGAAAAAAAAAATATAGAGGGGGGGTTGGTAAATTGGGGTTTATTTTTACACCCCAACCCCATTCGATTGGCCCTTTTTTTGGGGAATAGAGGTGGGGTAAATAAAGAAAAAACCATTTTGTTTTCCTGCCTCCCAGTGAGGGGTTGACGCAAAGACACACACAAAATTAGCGCCTCCTACAAGTTTTTACAGAACAAAGGGCGGGGGGGATAGTGGTAGGGGTCGGCGTCTAGGCTTTGGGGTTGGGCGAAAAAAAGCCCA